AGTGGGATGCGCGCTTTTCAGCAATGCTGCTACTCCACTGAGGTGAGGACAAGACATAGAGGTACCAGATGCAAGAAAAAAGTTAGGTTTAATGGTTGGTTTGTTATCAGGAGAGGGAGGCCAAGCCGCGAGAATGTTAACACCAGGGCCAATAATATCAGGTTTCAAGATTCCAGGACTAGCTAAGCTTGGTCCGCGAGAAGAAAATGCAGCAACCACCGGTGCATCTTTATCTCCGATTATTGTTCCTTGAAATGCAAGTCTTGCAATAGGTTTTGATGTTGTGTTCATATAGTCAAGAATTTCTATTCCATCTTTGTATGTAATATACAAAGCCGGAAGGACATGAGCATCGGCGAACTTGGTGAAACCATCATCAGGTGAACTATAAATAATCATGCCAACACCACCCGCATCCTTTACTGCTTGTCCTTTCTCAATCCTGCTATAACCACCACCCGCCATGCACAAAACTATTTTGCCTTTAATATCAGGGTCATTCAACGTACCTGTTCCGCAATAAGGGCTGTCGAAATCAGTTGCATTCAATGCAGGATCAAACAAAGGGAAAAATGTTGAACTGTGACCCTTTGGATGAAAGGCTGATTCGCCCTCGAATTCTTTTCTGTTTCCAAGCTTAACAGTAGCTTTAAGTTTTCTGTCAATAGTGCTCGCGCCTACTGTCATAATCCAGGGGGCTTCATTTGATAATGTGCTATCAAATGGACCATTATTAGCAGCTGAACAACTTACAAGAATACCTCTTTGTGTTGCACTATACGCGCCAAGCGCAATTGGATCATTATAGAATGCCTTACTACCTCCCCCTAGAGACAGGGACAGGATATCAACACCGTCATCAATAGCTGCGTCCATTGCAGCTAGAATGTCACTATCAGAGCAACCAAAAGAATCGCAAACCTTATAAATAGCAAGGTGAGCGAGTGGAGCAATCCCAACTGGAGTGCCATTAGCATTACCATTCACATTAGCACCATCCACAAAACGTCCAGCAATAGTGTATTGGAAAAAAACTGAATTTATATTAAAAATGATGTGGCATGACACGTGGATTAGTTG